TGGTTAATCTGGAGAATCGTAAACTCATTTCTCACGTATATTCCAAAAGCATTTTTTTTTGGCGGTTCTTTTAAAAAAAAAAAATTTTTTTTGTTCCAACCAAACACCCACGCATTTTCCGAAAAAAAAAATTTTTTTTTTCTTTTTAACAAACTCCTTACGGGAACGATAATATAACAAACAAAATTAAAATTTTTTTTTGTTTAATTCGAACGAAAGAAAAAATTTGACACATCAAACAACTTCATTACGTCATTCGAAAAATTCCAACAACAACAACCGTGAAAATACAACAAACAAATTATTAAAATTTTTATTTTTATTTTTTTTTTCCTCATTTTTAGAGTGTCAAAATGATCGATCATTCCAGTTTTTTTTTTGTCTCTCTTTCTCCATGATATTAAATTAAATGGCTACCGTTTTTTTTTTAAATCAAAAATAAATATCGTGAAAAGAAAAAAAAAATTGTTGTTGGGCCTCTGGACCAACAGCAAAACAAACAACATCAAATCATCACCGCCATTTTTGTTCGTCATCATCCGTTCGGTTAACGATTGCGAAAAAAAAATAATATAAAATAATAATAATAATAATTATTATTCAGCCTTGAATGACGAGAGAGAGAGAGAGAGTAACAGTAGTGACAGTAATTGGGTATACCGATCCAAATGCACCTTCGATAACAGTTATTTAAAACTATCCAAAAAAAGATTTCTTATCATAAAAGCCTCCTGGGTGGTCGACATTTACAATCTTTTACTCAATACGGTCTCTCTCTCTCTCTCTCTCTCTCTCTCTCCCATGTTTATATATAACTTGAATTTTTTTTTCATTTTTATATTTAATAAGTTGTAGGCAGTCAGGCCTCTTGGTATTCCCTTTAATAATAATAATAATTCAGGTTTTCTTATCAGTTATTCACCGAAATTCATATACGTATGCGAGTTTTTTTTGTTTTTAAAGAGAGAGAGAGAGAGAGAGAGAGTGAAAAAGACGTTTGTTTGAAGGTTACGATGATAATATTTGAATGAAATTTTTTTTTTTGTTTATAATAAAATAAATTAAATAAAAAACACCCGTAAAAGGAAAAAAAATTATTGTCAGTAAAAAAAAAAAAATACGTCATTCAATGACGTCAATTAAAATTTTATCACGTGGTAAATTTTTAGAAAAAAAAATTAATTTTTGTTTTTTTTAATAATAAAACAAACAAACGAGAGTTAAATATTAATTATTTATTCCAAATTATTATTATTTTTATTAAATCTTAATCGTGATAATTTGTCTTAATGTTTGTCGGAGCTTTTTCAAAATTTACTCCAGGTTTCTACTAGATCTCTAAGGAACAAATACCTGAATATGGGGGATGCTACATGCCTGATGGATAGGTTTTGTTTTGTTATAACCTAAACAGCATCACAGCAATTCTTGTAAGTCTCACTGAAACCATTTTATTTGATGGAAACAAGTTGTCTCCTGTACTGGGCTCCAGTGACTTACGTCCATGGAGTGGCCAGGAACAGGAGAAGTGAGATTCACAACCTTGTTGAGCTGACTCAGGTTAGAACAAGATTTGTTTTGTTTCTGTCTTTATGTTGTTCTCATTTTGTTCTATTACAATTATGAATCAGTTACCATATAATTTTGTCCTCAGAACTATGTCAATACTTAAGCTTCCTACTATTTCCCCATTTCATAATTTACCCTCATGCATTCCATTCCTAATGTATGCACAGTATACATATACAATTTACAATTTTGTACCTGTAAACTTAAGTAATCTGAATGCAGTTGAATTATTCTAATCTTAAATAAAATTAAAAGAGAATTTTACACTAAACACATGGCAAAATATGTTATAATAAAACAAACTAACTTAATAAAAGAGTTAAAGAAATGTACAATCAATATATACATACTTAAAACAGGAGTACAGAGATTTTACATCCACCTGATATAATAAATAAATTAATTACAAGTATTTGTATTACACCACCTCTATTTTTATTTAGTGTGACAGGGGTATATAGTTCAACTAATTACAATCAGCTCAAGAGAAGTACAATTACTAAATGGAGTCCATTGTGTCTTTCCATAATTCCTTTCATTAAAATCAACCAACATAAATGCTACCTAATTTCCTCTGACTTTGATACAGATTTAAAGGGGGTACTACACTATCTCTATGATAAACTATATTGTAATGAGACAAACTAACTAAAGAAAATGCTTAAAACAACCAACAGTCAGTAAATTAACCCTTTAAGATTAAACTATTGAAATTTTACACTGAGTTAATATATATCAAATCAGCTATTATTAAATATTTTTATTAAATTACTTCAATCCTTCTTGTATTTGATGAGATAAAAAAGATATTCAGTTAAACTAATTATAATTAAACAAATAAATGTAGAATTTTTAAGAATTTTGTTTTTTTTTGAGTATTTGGGTCCATTTCTATTTTAGCCAAACATTTTTGCAAATAAAATACAAATATAAAATGAAGTACTTACCCCATAGTAATCAGATGTAGTAAGCCATCTTCTAAGGATTTTTATTCCGCACTTTTCCTTTTGTTTCACATGATAAACCGTTGACAATTTCAAAAAATTTAAACTTAAAATAATATAATTATCACTAAATAATTTAAAAAACTAATTATATCACAATAAACTAGACTAAATAATAAAACTTTTGATATATAACTTATAACTAAAATATTAAATAAAACTATTAAAATTAATTAAATAAATTGACAAGATGTAAACGCGTGAAATTCACCGTGCTACACCCGCGCCATCTTGTCATTATTAACGGTTTTAATGTCGTCTGCTTTCGATTTGTTGCCATTTTGAAAAAAAAAAAACAAACAATTTTCAAATATTTTAATCGTGTAAAAATAATTTTTTTTTTTTTAAGCAAAAGATTATTTTATTTCCGTTAAAAAAATTTTAAGTTAAAAAAATTTTGGCGGGAATTTTTTTTTTTTTAAATTCAATTCCTTTGACGTTTTGCCGAAAAAAAAAAAATCCCACGTGGATAATAATACCTGAATGATGGATTTGAAACGAAAAAAAAAAAAAATTGTTTTCGTACCTTTTTAGGCTTTGAATAATTTTTTTTTTGTTTTTTTTTGATGTGTCATAAAATAAATATCGATTTATTTAATGTGGGAAGAGGGACACACAAGAGGGGGGAGAGGCACAAAGGAGGGAGGAGGGGCACAAGGAGGGGGAGGGGAGGGCGCAAATCGATTTCACGTTAAATTTGCAATTTAATTAAAAAACCGTTTTCCAACGGAAATACATTATCGATAAGTAATTGATAAATAATTATTTTCATTCATTCATATATTTTTTTTTTTATTTCGATGTTAATTTAATTTATCGATAAATGAAATTTTAACCGACGGTTTCAAAAAAATTTTTATTTTATCGTTTGTCAAAATAAATATGGCGGATTTGAATTTTTAAAAAAAATTTCTTTTTTCGCTTAAAAAAAATTATTTTTTGTTTACGTTTGGCATTATTGCGACAATTAGTCATAATTAATTATTAAAAACGATTTGTAATAATGTAATTAAATAATTACTTACCTTAATAATTAATTTTGTAACGTAAAATTTATTAATTTTTTCTCGACAGAAAAATTGGGTAATAAAATGTAAATAAACGGAAGCCATATTTGTTTACATTATTCAAATTATGATTGATTCGATCGATTTTAAGCGTTTTGTAACGTATGATTCGTCGTGATTTTTTTTACTTTTATTATCCGAAATTTTAATAATAATAATAATAATTTTAAATAAATAAATAATTAAATGATTTTACAAAAAAAAAAAAAAAAATTGAAAGAAAATTATTTAATTTTCAGTAATGCTGGAAAACTATGAATGGCGTCAAATATTAACTAGAGACATCTGTCGAATAAATTTTTTTTAAATAGGGGTGAAATTTTATTAAAATCTCGTTAGATGTCGCTAGTAAATTTTTATATAAAAAAAATTATCCCTTTGTGATTTATCATGGCGTACAAAAAGGGGTGTAAAAAAAAAAAAAAGATTTCCATCATTTCCATTCCCTTATCCTTTATTCTGATCCAATGCAACATGAAAAAAAAAACAAAAACAATTTTTTTTAATTTTAAAAAATAATTGGGGTGGTTTTCTATTTTTTTTGTTTTTAATCATTTCTTCTCTTAGGGAAAGTTTTTGTTTATTGCATCGAAAATATTAATCAATGAATAAGGCAAAGAAAAGAAATTTTTTTTTCAAATACCCGAACACGTTTTTTGTTTAAGACAACCCGTAAAGGTGAAGGTTGAGGTAATTTAAAAATAAGAAAAAGTCATAACCGAAAAAAATTTAAAATCAAATTTTGTACGTGCATTTATAATAGATTACCTTAAAAGGTATTTAATACCTCGAGCATAATAACATCGACACAAATATTCAATCAATAGATTTTGTTTTTTTTTTTTTACACGTATGAAAAAATTTGAACAAAAATAACACCCCGGAAGAAAATAAAAAAAAGATAATGATGATGATGATGATGATGATGAAAAAGATGAAGAAAAAGATTCCCCGTTGAGTTAACATAAATAAATAAATAAATAAAAATTTACAAAACACAACAAACAAATTTTTTTTTTCTTCTTCTTCTTCTTCTTTCTTTTATTTATTGATGAAGGTCATTGAAACAATCGTTTGTTAGGTAAACAAACAGATTATTATTTACATTTTCTGCGGTAGCATTTTTAAAAATCTTTAACACCTAATAAATTTGTTTTCCTTCTTCCATTTTTTTTTTCTTCCTTTGTCTCCACATTTTTGTTCTTTTCCACCGTCTCACTTTCTGAAACATTAATAAATTTATATTAAAACAAATAATTTATATGTAAATAAATTAATAATTGTATAATAATAATAATAACCTTTAAGATTTTCCGTAGATTTGCAGTAAATTTTTTTTTTTTGTATCATTGAGTGAACGTACACCCGTAAGATACCTGTAGAGACGAGCTTCTGATTATGAGGTAAAACAACAAAAGCCCGGATCTACAGGGTAGATTACGAGTGTGCCGATATTTATATATATATAACAAACCTATTTATTCAAAAAAAAAAAAAAAACCGTTAAACAAACAAGCAAACAAACAAACAAACAAACCAAAAAAAAAATCATTTCGGCATTAAAAATTTTATATCCACCTGGAATATAAAAAAAAAAAAAATTATTTATAAATAAAACTCTTTTTTAATTTTTCATCTGACAACATAAACAACAACAACAACAACGGAAAAAAAAATTTAATGTTTTATTAAAATTAACAAACTATTTACTTCCGGTTATTATTTTACAATACATCAAAATACGTGTGTTGTTTTTGTTGTTGTTGTTTGATTGTTTCTCAACCGTTTTTATTTGACTTATGTGTAAACTTTTTTTTAATTTTATTCATTCGACCAATACTACTACTACTATTATTATTATTATCATTATTATTATTATTACATTACGAAGTAATACTAATAATGATAGGATTTTTCGAAATAAAATCATTATTTCGAGGCGTTTTTTAAAAGTTCAAAATAATATATATATACATAATTTTTTTATGTACATAATTTAATCTAATATATTCTTATACTATTAATAATAATAATGATTTTACTGTAATATAATAATAATGATTAATTTATGGTTAAATAAAAAAGGTTAAAAACGTAATTTAATTGACTTCTTGCACAAAAAATTAAAAAAAATGAAAAGTTTTATTTTCACACGGAAAATATTTTAAAATATTTTATTAGAATATAAATATTATTACTATTATTATTATTATTATTATTATTATTATTATTATTATTATTATTATTATTATTATTATATATATTTAAAAAAACTTTTCGAAATGGTTGAAAAACAAAAATTATTATTTTTTATAACAAAATTTTATAATTAAAATAAAATCAATACGAGGCAAATGTAAAAAGATGAAAAATCGAGATGATGAACCTAAAAAAAAAATAAAATAAAAGAAAAAGATTTTTTTTTTCTAAATTTCGAAAATGATTAATAATAATAATTATTATTATTTAGTTTATAAAAAAACGCGAAAAGAAAAAAAATTATGTAAAAATTTAAAATAATAAATAAATAAAATTATAAAAAACGAAAAATTTCTTTTTTTTTTCTTTTAAATAATAATAAAATTTACCCGTTTCCGTTTCCTTTTTAAAATATCACATAAATAAATAAACATTTTTAATTTAAAAAAAAAAAAATTATTAAAACATAGTTGAAAAAACTAAAAAGAAAAAAAAAATGTTTTTTTTTTTAAATAAAAACAAGAACAAAAAATTTTCATTCGAAATTTAAAAAAAAAAAAAGGCGAGGGTGGAAATTTCATGCGCGCCCTGGACCGCGCGCATGGATGCTGGAGGCAAGTGAATGAATTGTTTTGAGGGTGCGGTTCTTCTTTCTTCTTCTTCTTTCTTCATCTCTTTCTGCCTATTTTTATCTGATTTTTTTATGTTTTTATAAATGAATAAATAAATAAAATTTTTTCTCAGAGTTTTTTTCTTACATCTCCATTTTTTTTATTCTACCTACAGGAAATGTAAACAACGACAACAGCAGCAAAACAAAAATGATTGTAATTAAGAGTAAAAGAAAAAGGAAAATCAAAAAAACCTGAAAACCTTTAAAGTACCAAATTTTTATGAAAACCAAATGTCAAAAAATTTTTAAAATTCGAAATCATTAAGTTAAATAATTAATAAAAAAAAAATTTTTTTTTTCTTTTTCTTCTGCTTCTTCTTCTCAGAAGAACTCCCTCCTTCCCTCTCCCCTCCCCGTTTATGATATTTGGTATATATAGGTCGGATTTGTCATGTACCTGGCAATATTAATAGTACCTTATTCTGACAGACAGGAGACCTGAACTTTGCAATCCCTTTCCTTTAAATGATTAATGATAAAATTTTTGTTTCTATTGACCTTTTGTCGGATATTCTTTGAGATTGAGCTTGTGGGAGGAGGGGGACAGCGGAGGGGGGTAGGTAGGGTGAGGTGAATTTTCATTTTATCTTCCTTCTCTCTCTCTCTCTCTTTTTCCCCGGGTATAAAATATTAAAAAAAAAAAAAAAAAAAACTTTTTCATAGTTTTTATAAAAAAAAACATAAAAATCATTTTTTATTTTTAACAAAAAAAATTTAATTTATTTTTTTTCCCTATTATTATTATTATTATTATTATTATTATTATTATTATTATTATTATTTTCGTGCGTTGATAATAATAATAATGTAATAAGTATTTTTTTTGTTTGTTTAATTAAATAAATAAATAAATTTTTAATGCACAAAAAAAAAATATATATACGTACAGTTTTTTAAATGTCGTCTTATATTTAAATAATGGAGTTTCCATTATATTTAAAAAAAAACTATTAACGCTCTCTTACGTTAAATTTAATAACTAAATAAAAAAAATTTTTAAATAGTTTATTTGTTGTCCAATAGGGGGGGAGCCACACGAGAAAAGTTATTAATTATGGCTGTCAAAATTTCTTTTCTTTTCCTTTTTTTTTTTTTTTTTTTTCGAATTTATTATAAATGGGTATCGTCGTAACGGTTACAGTTTATTTTATTTCTCTCTTTAGAAAATGTTTAAAGTAACGAAAAGTTAGTGCTAAACAACAACAACAACAACCAAAAAAAACAATTGTTTAAGTGTGTACAAACCGATTATTATTTTAGGATTCCAAATAATTTTTTTTTTTAAAAGGTAAAATTAATTATTAATTATTTAAAACATTAATTGTTTGCGTTGCACAAAATTTTGTATGTTAACTAATAAGTTACTTATTAAGTTTGTATGAAAAACTAAAAAAAAAGCGAACAAACAAACAAACAAACAAAACTTTTTTTTTTACTTTTTTTTCCAAATGCAAATTCAATTTTATTCGTTTTAGATTTTAGTTTAATTAATTAATTTTTTTTTTTAAATTTTAATAGAATTAACGTAAAATTTAGTCATGAGTGCGTGTAACTAAAAATTTAGTCTTAGAGTAATCGTTAACTAAAAAAAAAAAAAAAAACATTTTCAACGATGAAATAATTTTATTATATCCGCCATCGAAAACGTTTCATTTAAAAATTATTAATTTAAAAATAAAATAAATAATAATATAAATTACCTCTTTGATTAATATTAATAATAATAATTAAACACACTTGATTTAATTAATAATACTAATAATATAAAAACATACATATTCGAATCAAAAACACAAAATCAAACTGGAGTTTTTTTAATGAAAAGTTTTTCTGGATAAAAACGTTACACACGATGATGACACATAAAAATTTATTGGTATATTGAAACCCTCTGTTTCGCTTATGTTTAACTTATATATAAAAACATTATACCATTGTTTTGTTCTTTTGTTTTCTATGTGAGGAGGGTTTTTTTGCAATCCCTCTTTTTCCATCCTGGATAAAACTTCTGGAAAGGAGAGCCTTTATATTATTTTTTTTTTTAAACGCGTATAAGTATTATTATTATTTGAATAAGAGTTACGTCTCGTCAATGAGAAAATTTACAAGAAGAAAATTTTTTTTGTTTTTCATCTTATCGCTGTTATCACTTTTGATTAAAAATTATTTTTTAAGGGAAGATTGCGTTGGGGAGGGAGAGAGAGAGGAGAGTAAGGAAAAGGTAATGGTAATGAATTCTTGTCCTTGAAACAGTGAACCAATTTCAATTTGACAAAAGAGTTTTTTTTTTTTTTTAGGTTTTATTTCACAGCTGTTTGTCCAACTGTCAAGTCGGCCATGATTGATCGTTTTTTTCCAATGGAGGGAATCAAAATCATAAAATACAGGGGCGAAATATTTTTTTTTTTTTTTACCCTTCTGCATTTACACTTGAAAAACTTCTAATCGAATTATAAATTCTAGATAGATTTTTTTTTTCTCTCTTCTCTTTTTCTCTCTCTCTCTGTTTCTCGTCTTTTTTTTTTATTTAAAAAAAGGATTACTGTATCAAAATAACTGGCAAACATTTTTTTTTTTTTTGGGATTAATCTTTTGTTAAAAAAATAAAATATAAATAAATAAATTTAAATATTTTTAAAAAAAAATAAAAAAAGTAAACGTGACGATGGCGAAATGTTTTCTTTTTCTTTTTAAATATCGTTAAAATCGTGTTAAAGGTTTTTCCGGATTTAATTCGACGTTTTCCAGTAAGATGTCGTTACTTGTTATATATTTTTTTAAAAATTCGATGGAGCGCGCGCGCAAACATAATAACCGCGCACGTGACGTTTTATTATTATTATTTATTTAAATCATCATCACCGCCATCATCGTTTAAACAAAATGTTTCGCGTAATTATTTTATTGTTTCACCGATGACAGTAATAAAGATGTTTTGATAATCATTTTAAATAAAATGTCAACGAGGAAAAATAAAAAAAAAAACCGAGACCCGAAATTGTTGCTTCCCCGTGATTGATGATACCTCGAACGAATCGTCGTGGCAGGAACCATTTTGAAGTTTTGTGTCATGCCACAATGACCAACGTCTCAACCTTTGCCTCTTCTCCCGTGTATTGTTTTAACCCCCAACATTTAACTAATAAATTATCGCCTTTTTTACGCCCCGACTCACGTAATCATAGAGAAAATAAAAATTAGAAAAAATTTTGTTTGCACATGTAATTCGACACGTAAAAAGTTACACCCTTAATCAAACCCCTCACCCCCTTCATAATGATAATAATAACACTAATCAAAAAAAAAAAACAACAACAACAACAACTTGTTTTAATAATTAAATTTAATTAATAAATTATCAAAATAATAATAATAATAATAAACGAAGTGAAGGGAGGGAGGGGGAGGGGTAGGGGTAGTAAGAGGGATAGAAGAGGGATAAAAGGGCGGTGATGACGGACGAGGTGATGAGGGAACATATTTAACATTTTGAGAAAAAAAAAAAACGTTTTTTTTTTCATTTTTAACGGTTTTCGCGGTTTAATTTATTATTGTTGTAATCATTTTCAAAAAATTA